ATGTTCAAAACACTCACCTTGAGATACATCCAGATCAGCTCCTTATGGATAGGGCTCACCACCTTAGAAGACTAAAACACCTTTCCGTCCCCACTGCCAGGGAGGTGATTGTAAGAATCAATTTCTTCCACACCAAAGAACGAATCGTATGAGCTTGCAGGAACACAGAAATGCCAGCACAGTACCATAACATTAAACTATGTGTGGACCTTTCGGCAGAGACACTGAAGTTTATAAAAGCCTTATCGCATCAGATGAACTACAGGTGGGGTTACCCGGCTAAACTCCTGGTCATTCATCAGGATGCCCTCCACGCTATCACAACCCTGGAGCATGGCACCCAAAAGTTGAAAGACTGGGGTATACCTCTACCCAAAGCTGCGATACACAGACCTGCTTAAGTTCCTAGGATGTCCCCAGAGTAGTCGGGGCAAGTAAATCAACTGATGTGTCATTATGTTTATGTTTATTAGCCACTGGCTTCCATATACTTTCTTTGTTTTTCCTCCACCAGAAGTTTATGCTTTTGATATGCTGTTAAAGTTATGGTCTCCCCTAGATGTGACTCAACCCCCGCCAGAGTAAACTATATATAGGTATACCCATAAGAGTTTCCTCTAATTAAATGGAGTCCTAGCACAAAGGCTAGAAGTTGGTACTGCCCAATGAGATACAGAGGAGCACACATACTTATCCACCTTACAAGAACCAACTAGTTAATAGAAATAGCAACACAGGGGCTTTTGAAAGTTTACTAACCTGTTGAGGGGAACGCAGCAAGCAAGCTGCCCAAAGTCCATGTTGAATGCCAACACTTGACCCTCCCAATTGTTGTGCAGAATGTTTATTTTAACTCATAATCGCTCTTCCACATATACACTTGTGGGAAATCCTCTGTTAGAGAGTCTCAATGCCACCACTACCACTAGATGCACCTGACATCCTGTTGGCACAATTTGGCTCTAGTTCTTAGAGCTGAACAGGGTTGTCCAACCTTCTGTTTATAACCCAATATCCCTTAATCACCTATCCAAGGTTACACCTACCCCTTCCTTGCCCCTATCAGCAGTTCGCAACGCTTGTGACAGCATACATATATTACCTTAACGCTTACACCACTAAGGCAGGTAGCAGTACCATATCTCAGCATAGACTACAGAACAGGGCATGGTGTTGGGAAGGAGAGGCATCTGACAGGGGAGCTGACCGGAACGGAGGAGAAGGGAGCTGACAGGAGCTGCAAGAAAGGTAAGTTACAGCTCGCTGCCAGCTCCCAACAGGACTGCCGGGCATGTAATGAGCCCGGCAGTCCTGGTCTATATTATGGCAATGTAAGTTGCCATAATACAGACAGTGACTCGAGTATAAGTCGAGTGGCGGTTTTTCAGCACAAAAAATGTGCCGAAAAACTCGACTTATACTCGAGTCTATATGGTAACCTTCCTGCCATACTAAGGCTACCCAAACATCTTAGACCACAGGTACCACGGATGCTGACACAATTAAAACTAGTCGTACAAATATGGGAGAGGATTTGGAAAAACTTGGAGAGTAGCGACCTGTTGTCCTTAACGACACCAATACAAGCAATTACCTATTGTATACCTACTATGTACACACCGTTCCTGTGGAACTCGCTTCCCTCCTCACACAGTCTCCACTTTTGCGACCCTTAGAAATAACTACAAACTGCCCGAACCTCACAATTTTCCTACACACAACTACAGTCATTCCTGCACAAATACAGTGCAAGGGTACCCGCCCAAGATGACATTCAGAAAGAGATTACGTTATGGGAAGAAATTGGTATCAATGGTTCGCTTCCTCCCTGATGTAAGCCATTCTCCAGGCGCTACTGGCTCCTACAGACTTACGAACACTTTGCGGACTCTTCCCCAGCCAACAATGGTCTCAGGACCTTCCTTGCAGTTTGTCCCGTGCACAGTGGGAAGATATTATCGCTTCCTCTAGGAAACTGATTAAATCAGTGACCTTAATAGAACAACAGAGAAAAGTGTTTTATAGATGATATATGGTACCAACTCAAATACACAAAATGTTTCCCTACTCCTCACCTATATGTTGGAGATGCAGAGCAGAAGAAGGCACGACGCTCCACATCTGGTGGAACTGTAGCCAAATATCTAAATTTTGGGATTCAGTCCACCAGCTGATTAATCATACCACCAATATAACTATATCATTTGAACCACTCTCTTGCCTCTTGCTGAGCATAACTCGCAAGATCCCAAAACCTAAACTAAAACAATATATTTCATATATTGTTTACAGCACAACGTGCAATTGCAAGAGCCTGGAATCTACTCTACTGCAAGACTTAGACACCCAACAAATTTATGACACTTGCTACAGCAAGGTTTTCCCTTCATCACAAGCTGTTGCGGAGGCTTGGGAGCTTTGGCGCAACAGGAGATCGGAATAACCGAGAGAAACATAAACTATGTTACTAACATCTAATGCAAATTGACCTGAGCATCTCCTGCCTGAGTGAGTGGATTCTTATAACTACATACCTGTTCATACAACAAACGGAACCTCTTAGCTTCTTACCCGGGTGGAGGCCATAGTTGATTGGTTAAATGCTTTTGCACTGTAACTCAAACTATGTGGATGCTTAAATGTTTGTACTTGCATACTGATTGTCTGTCTCCAATTATGTGGACTACACTGCTTCCCCCCCTCCACCTTTCTTTCCTTTCTGTACCCCCCACCCCCTATCTTATTCGAAAACATTAATAAAAATGATAAATGGAAAATACACTTACCATTAAAATTATAGATTGATCATTTCTTTGTCAGTGGACAAACATTCAGTATCAATAGGGGATCAAATACTTTTTTCCCTCACTGTATAAATCCCTTGGTCTAAAAAGGAAAAGGTGCTGAGATGCTTATTGCATATTTTAGGAACCATAAAAATGTGGCAATCACATGCTGCTGTGTTAATTTTTTTTAACTCAAAGGTTCTTATGAATCATATCCCATGTTCTGGTACTGAGGAAAAAAGTGCAAAGGAAAACACAACACTGAATTAAAAATTATTGAATCATGTCTACTATATTCCTTCAACCCTTATAACAACCTCTAATGTATAACAACCTACTGTGAACTCTATAGATCAGATATCCTCCACAGCCAAATTTATTCTTAATTGTACATCTCATATCTATATTTCCCAACTGTTTCTTGCACATCATGCTAATTATTGCAAAAGAAGCTCATTTCATCTGAAAAGTATAATTAGTCCTGAGCCACTGTGTTTTATTAAAAATATCAGTCTTTTTGCAGAAAATAATAATGTGAAATGAATTATCCTATAATACAATCATTTTGGTCAAAGACAGTGTTCTTCTTATCTATTTTTTTCTATATATATGCAGAATTTTCCAATTCTGACTGTCTTAACCTAATTTTATTGAAATACATGGTTTTTACCTTGTGTTATTCAGATGGTAAGAAAGTTTTTCATTATTCTTGGAGAAGAGAGATTACAGCATTTAGTAAGACAAATTCCGTCTTCAACATCACACCGCAGTACAGTCATCTAGCTAAACACAGTAATCTGCCTAACTACACTGCAAAACAGAGCTATGAAATGTCATATTTAAAAATGTAAGTTGCATAGAAAACATTCATGATATATTTTAGAAAAGAGAAAATGTACATGTTTTCCAAATCCAATGATAGGAACATTTTATCCAGGAATCTGACAATGTTTAAAAATGACTCCATTATTAAAAAATTAAAAAATTAAATTGAATTAGTATTTTGAAAATGCATTTACAACATATTATTTAGCTCTACTTTAGACAAATATTAGGAGACAGCATGAATTAGTCAGATATCAAAAAGATAAAGGTCTAGTATCTCTTTGGAAATTATGTTAGCAAAATGTATAGGAGAGAAAAAATGTTTTGTTTTTCGACATTTAAAAAAGTACCATCAAGGGGGCCTGACCGCCAAGCGAGCAGGCCGCAGGCTGAGGGAGCTCCTCCGATAATCCTGCAATAAAAGCAGATAAAGCATAAAATACTCACCTTGAGCAGCTAAACTCAACCCCTGATTGACGGGAACAAATGAGACACCCTCTTGGACTGACCGATAAAGCTCTGCTCAGCTTCTTCGGTGCCCAAAGCTTACTGCGGCCTGCTACCATAATGTAGGTGCGAGACGCGGCCGGTCTCCCTCCTATAATCGACCAAACTGTGGTTTGGGCCACGTCCCCCACCCCCTTTAGACCGGCGGGGGTTATCCCGGTCACCGCAGGGGCTGCAGACACTGACTCGATTAGTCAGCTCAGAAACAACCCTGCACTGAGACCTAGCCCTGCAAGACGCATGTGGACCGGATCTACAGAGCAAGCTACTCCTGACCGGCTTCCTCTCTGACACATGGCAACATTGGATGAGATCCTCGAACACTTCTGGGCTAAACTTGAAGCCTGCACCAGATTGCTGCCATCAGCTACCCAATCGGCACAGGTGGCTCAGAGGAATCATGGAGAGGAGTTGGAGAGGCCTCTACAGGGCAAGAAGTCTTACCACACGGCAGTACACTTGAAAGAACTCCCTCTGGGGCAGAGAAAGCACGGGGGCACAGCTCCAGTGCAGGGCTTTCACAGGCGTAAGACCACAAAACACCATAGTCGGTGACACAGACAGAGGGCTTCCCGCCGCTTCCTCCACCAGAAGAAATCATACACCCTACTGCCACAACCCTGGGAACACTCGACCTGGCCCAACACCTGCGGCAAGGGACTGAAAGCAGCAACTACACACCCACTGGCTGCCCCTCAGCATACCAGAAAACCACTGACGCTACACCTCCATACCAAGCCTCCATCTCAAGCCTCCAGGTTGGGCATTGGCTGACTCAAGCGGACAGCCAAGGGGACTTGCATCACCCACCACTGCCTGACTGCATAACCCGAGGTCCAGACCACTAATGGTCATTGTTTTATTTGTTTTAAATTTCTTTTGTTAACGCCAGCTGTCCTTGCACCCATTGACCTCAGTCTCCCTCACTTAAAATGGTGGGCAGCCACCAGTGGATGCTATGTTGCTCGAGGGAGCTCCACAAAACTGTTTGCATTAACCATCCTGTTTATGCGCCCAGCGGTATATTTACGTGTTTTAGGCAATCACTCTGTAAAGCATGACATCTTACATCACCAACATAGTACATTGCTCCTCCATGTATACATCGAGAAATGCCCTGCACTCACTGCTGGTCCTACCCATCGAGAGGTACATCATAACATACACCATTTAATTTAAAGGATCCCATGCAGACTATACATAAGTAAACAAAGCCTTGCGTAATGTACCATGATAGCTATAGTGTTAGGAATATAAACATGTATTGTTGACACTATACTGTTTAACTATTAAGGTGTCCCGATCTTCATTTCATTGAACTAGAGTGGTCAGCTGATGCTTTAAGCCAATCAGCAGCTCACTGGAGGTTGGTGTACCAACCACCAGGGCCACTAAGTTACCTAATCTGCGCCTGTTTTACAGCCACATTATTTTCATATGACCTATATAAAATGGGTTCACTCGTCATCACTATGTTATGTTTAACTGTTTAACTAGCTACAATACTTTAAATATAAAAATCCGTGCTAATTCCTCAAATGATGCAAAGTTATATATCTAACAGTTCTCAATGCTACTCAACATATATCATTAAATGTACTGCAATCCCTGCGTTTGCTGTTGTGGAGGTGCAGGATCCACTGTGATTTTATGCACGTGCAAAAATAAAGAATAAAAAAAAAAAGTACCAGCATGGGGGGGCGGGACCGGACTGCCATGCTGCATAGTCGCATGGAAGAACAGCTCCCACAATTTTCAGACCTTGTGGTTCACAAATGCTGCAAAACCCCCCATATGACACTGAAAAGCGACAGTTTAATGCACGGTGGGGTGCTGGTTCTGAAGTTCGGCCCGAAACTTGTCTCAGGGTCCCTTGCGTGGAAATAATAACACTCTATGATTGCGACCTATGCAGGTGGTGAGTGGGGTGGACAGCTGCTGCCCTGCTATCCTGCCTTCAACAAGCTAGACCCTTCGAACTTCGGAGGCACCGGCCCTGTCCCCCCCCCTTTGGACCGGTGGGGGTCATCCCTTTTCACCCTGTTGCCCTGCTGTCGACCCAGACGGTTGGTGGACTCACCCACATCGCAAGATGGCTGCCGAGCCTGCCACACAACACAGGCAGGCGCTGGAGATGGCGATCAATGTCTTCTGCACACAAGTCTGGGCGATCCTACCCGAGAGCAACATACTGATCAAGTGGGCCAGATCAAAACGCAGCAATCTGGTGCTGAGGCCCATTAATTGGATGACGCAGCTCCCATTTCCAGCGAGCCGCTGGCTGAAGTAACCCCCACAACTGGGGTATACCTCTTCCTCTGCCGACCTCTGCCAACTTACCACCAGGGGAGAATCTGCTCCAGCATGAAATGGGCTGATAACCCTCTACCGCAGCATCAAGCGACGATCTACACCCGGAGTAGACTTGCACCTGACACGCTCTGCCTCAAGCTGGCAGTACAAAAACGGCAAAATGGCTCACATTGAGGAGACAGATCCGAGTCTGCACCTTGGGACTGTGGTGGGGGTGAGATCCATACCTGACACCTGGGAGTGTATCCTAACAGATCTTTAACGTGGCCCATATTTTCCCTCCAGCTATTACCCTGTCTCAGGCTGAGTGTGGGTTCAGGGGTCTATCCTTCATATGGCATGCTGTTAACAGTTTCTATGTTTCTATAAGTTTTTTTTTTTCTATGCCAAATTGTTCAACCTGTTTTATTTGCCTTTTTTATCCTATTATGCCCTACAACTAACCATGTCTAACAGCTCTCTATAAGTAATGCTCAGATCTTAGACATGACTTTCTAGCATATTTCAATATAAAAAAAAATGTGCCGTCTATCTAAATGTCACTGTTCCAAAAGCCTGTTTTATCTATATGTGTGAACGCTGTTGTGTCTTACCAAGCTTTCTGTTATCAATTGCACACCATAAATAAAGAATAATAAATAAAAAAAAGTACCTGCATTTATTTTGGCCATATTGGATAACAGAGTAACCTTTTTCAGAACATTACCTAGGGTACGATAGAGAGATAGGAGCTTTTTTTTAATCTAGGGAGAAAATTCTCTAAACTAATGAAAAGAGTTCTTGAGTTTTTTATACTTAATATGAAAAGTTCTGGAACTGTTTATTGTTGAAGTAAATGAGAGCTATAACATTGTTCTACAGGTATATTTCCTTTAATGTAGTGGAGTATCTCCATCTATTATTCCTTATGATGAGATAGCCAAAGAATGTTGTGCCTTTGTTTAATGTGTTCACTTGTGCCCTTTACTCCACATCACTAGTTGTAGTAAAAGGTACCTCTATTTTTCTCTAGTGAACAGTAGTTCCCCTGTGTTCATTCTATTTGATGAAATATGATACTTGTATTCAAGCATTAAAATCTTTTCTTCTGTGACAGCATCTATCTTTCATTCACTATTATAAAACCATAGTAGATTATTTATATTGTTAAATGTAGGGATCTCAGAGAACCCTTGATCCCAATGAGTAGGATAATTTTGGAATAATGTCCAATGCATTAAGTTGTCAATAAACAATATTCATTTATGTATAAGTAGAAATTATAACAATAAAAACATTCTGCATTTGGAATAAATATTTAAACATATATATTGTTTTTGTTAATAAATACACAGTTGAATCAGAGAGCTTGGATTTTATATAAATATTAGTATACACATTTCAATGTAATGTTTTTTAGTAATAATGAATTATGTATGTCTGTGGGGTAGTTCCGTGAATAATTTCATGCAAAGTACCTAGAAAACCAGAATCCTTTATCCGTAGCATTGAAGAGTAGTGTGGCCAACTGCCCTCAGGGGGCACTTAAAAAAACAAAAACATGCATTTTATTTTGTTTGACTAAAAAAGTTGTGCAAACCAAAAAGGTATATTGATGACAAAATGTCTTAGCACAGAATAGCACAAAAATTGAAAATACCAAAAAGTTGTAACCAGTTTAAAATGATAGCAGAACTCATTTCATATAGAGTATAATACAGATTAAGTAACAGCACACACAAAAATATTTTTTCACATTTTATAAGGAATATTAAAATCACCTAACAAATATGTGGATTCAGTTCCACCATATTGTCATATTGTGTTAAGCCAATGTTGGGAATAATACACTTTGCATATATTGACCCAAGGCTCAAGCTACAGATGACCGGATGTTCAGTCTGTTTAAAATTGGCTAACTTGGAGCATGTCAGCTATTTGAAATAATATACTTTATCTATATACAATGCTTAGAGAATAGAGCCCTAGACAAGAGCTATAGTAAATTGTGTAAATGGTGTTATATCCTGTGTGTTTCTGCTGTTGGCCTTATCTCCTGCGTTTCTCCCTTTGATTATAACTGCTTAGTAATGTGTAATTTAGAACTGCGTAGTTAATATCTTTAATACTAAGTGCGTATTAATTCTAAGTGTGTAGTTATATGGAAACTTAGCTTTGTTCAAGGCCTGAACATGAAGATACACCTGCAAGCTTGCTATAGGTTAAGATGTTAAGATAAGATAGATGCTTTTATTAGGATTGGATAATGCTTGAAAAGACTACCCCTGTTTCCTGCTGAATATAACCTGTTACACAATCCATTAAAGTGATAGTGCTTTGATGTATATGCTCACAATGCATATAATATATCTGCTCTATGATCATGATAATAAAAGTGACAATACTATCCAAAACCTCCTCAAATATATACCTTTCTGTGGTCACCTCCAAAGTGGTCTGTGAAATTGGGGGGGCTGAGCACTCCGCTCATCCCAAAAGGAATTGGTCTGGATTCCAAACTTACATAGGAAAGACAAAAAAGGGGGAGCACATCCAAAACATGCATTTTGCAAGAATGGTGCTGTCGTAGTGAACAAAATGTATAGATAATACAGATTAAGGAACAGCATACACATAAAAATGCAATTTCACATTTTATAAGGCTAGTTAAAATCACCTATCTTGGCAAACAAATATGGGGATTCAGTTCCACCATATGGCCATACATTTCATATGAAGTATAGCAGGGATTGGATGGCATTTTATTGTTCATAGTTTTGTTATTGCTTGGAGCACTTATAATGCATTGAATGGTAGGATTAATCAAGGACCATAAAAATGCATATTGATAAGAGATAAAAGAACATTTGAGTCTCTGCTGTTACTTTTGTCATAGAAACTCAATGAAAATACAATAGCTATTATAGGTTTATTGAGACAAGAGGAACAAAATGTACCTTTGGTGTGAATGTTCTAGGAAATAAAAAGGAAGATCCATTGTAATACTTCAAAAGAATGTCATCACTATTTTGTATAATCAAAGTAATCTTTAAACTTAGCCTTACAAGTATAGTGAGTGACTGGAATTTACATTCCAGTTTATATAATTGTATGATTTGATTGTTGAATTCTTTAAATCATATTCTTCATATCCACTCTACTTTCAGATCTAATGCCAACTCAAATGTCGTTTTAATTTTAAGACCAAAAGTTGGTTACACTTTGTACCAGAAGGATACTGACCTCAATAGTTTTCTCAAAGTGTGCAGCTTTCATCTCAGAAATAAAGCATTGTGCATTTCACGAATCATGTGAGTAGTATTTAACAACTATGATCCAGCACATGGGGGAAGTATAGATTTTACAAATGTGATACAAATTCTAGAACAAGATTATAAGAAAAGTACATTGGATCAAACATTGAGATGTGCATGTAAGAGATTGGCTCATAAATATGTAACAGAATGAATCTAAGGACAGGATGTTTACAAAGATCTTTAACCCCTTAAGGACACATGACATGTGTGACATGTCATGATTCCATTTAATTCCAGATGTTTGGTCTTTAAGGGGTTAATAAAGCCTCTAGGGAAGAAAATACATTAAATATAAGACAAAAGTATTCTCAGTTATGTAGCCCATCCTTGATTTTGGCATAAAAATGCAATCCTAATTTGAACACCTGTCTAAAGAATGATTTGTGAGGCAAATATAAGAAATACCCACCTGTTTTGATGTCTTAGGTGTGTGACATGTAGTCACATGATAATGGGCAAAATCGTTAACCAGTCACATTCAAATAAAGTTTATACATCAAGAGACATGTCATATACAACATCATGTGTCCATGTGGACTGTTCTACTGGATTGTAAAGATATTTGAATACAGATGAATAATTACAAATCATATAAATCCGTAACAAAGTATTTATTGGCCTTAGGGTAATTAATTACCTCTTGTCATGTTCATGGCTACTGAACATATTGAAATTCGATAGAGTAATGGGGAATTAAGCATTGAGCACCTTTATTAACTTTTTAACTAGACACAGACCCTCCGGGCTGACAGGATTTGTTGTTCC